TACAATCTTCCTATAAGTTTTATTCTGTTTGATGGTGTTGGGCACTGTGCATACCATGGGAATAGTTGGGTTTTTCTGAGCAGCCCAAATACAGACAAATAGCTCATTTCACAAGATGGCCTCCATACAACATTCTGGGCAATTGCTGGATCACATGATACGAGAGACTTTCTCAAAGCAAGGCTACTGTACAGATATCCGGTTATCCACCTGAGTGGATGACAAGCCTATATGTGAAACTTTAGTGCAGATTGCCAACTCCACAATGATTCAGTATGCTGGTGCTTTCTCGTCAGCTCGTAACGCTACAAACAGGAGACTCATGTTACCACACCCAAAGAGCCACCATGACAAATACTGGGTGTTTTGTTTCTCTTACTATGCTGTTGACACAGATCTCTGAATATGGAATCCTTTCAGTCCCTTTCTTGGTCGTCTTTAGTAGTTTCCAGCAATCACTCATTTCAGAATATAACTGTATAGCTGCTGCTTTGGTGCCTTTTGTGTGTGTGTGTGTGTGTGTGTGTGTGTGTGTGTGTGTGTGTGTAAGAGGAGGCTTGTGCTGGGTGTGTGTTCAGCATCTTGAGTCTCCCTGTAGAGTTTTGTACTACAACCAGCATGCCTTGCAAGTGGCACCCCACTGATCTTTGACTACGGGCTGGCCTTTGTTTCTTAAATGTTTTTGAAGTGCTTTATTGGTTGAGCATGAGAAGCAGTTGCCCCTGTCAATGCTGTTTGCTTCTCTTCCTCCTTTCATAGTGTTTGAAGTGAGGTTGTCTTTTCCCGGAGCTTCTCTTTTCCTTTCGTATGCACCATGTGAGCTGGGGCCAACAACAGCCACATCATGTTGCTCAGTTCCAGCTTATGTCGCTCACTCTCTCATTTGCAGCTTTTCAGAGGTGACAGTTTCTCCCAAGTGCATATGAGTGTGTGACATGAGTTGGCACTGTTCTGGTACCTAATGGTTTACTCACTAAGTCGATATCCCACATTTTTGACTGTGTTATATAGGGACTTTTGTTCCTGAACCCTCTTCCCAGTGTGATAATGGACTGCTCCTAAATCCCAGTGGCCTATCTGCAACAGATTTTGTGGAGTTACCTGTTCCTAAGTTACCTGTTGTCCTCGTCTGGGTTTTAGTGACTTTCCAATCCTCTTATCTAGAATGATAGAGCAGCCACTATTGGCAGAATTATAAAAATGATTATTTTACAAAAACTATTTAGATATAGTTTCTATTACCTTTGCTCATTTTTTCTTGGGACAATGTATACAGGCAAGCTTGATGTCAGTGAGCAGACAGATTTAATTGCTTTGTAAGGATTTAAAACATATAAATGGATCCCCATCGATGCTGCTTTCATCTACTGTAATATAAAGTTCTATAGTTACAAGACATGGGCAGGACTCAGCAAAATCCCTAGATACGTTCCTTAAGAGTAACTGCATAAAAGTCATCATATGCTTTCTATGGGATTATTACATACATAAATATAATGGGCTTATTATTCAGTTTGAAAATCTAAACATGAGGGCCAATGAAATGGCTCAACAGGGTAAAGTGCCTACCACCTCTCGTGAGGTTAAGTGTTTTAGAGCCAGGATCCACATGATGGGAGGAGAAAACCAACTTGTGCCAGTTGTTCTCTGGGCTGGGCTGTACACATGCACATACAAAATACACCGGTCAATGTGAAAGGAAAATTAGGAACCTCAGTGCTATTTGGGAGAAAAGGGTATTACATTGACTACTATATCACAGTGAGAAGGTAGGGTCACCAAGGAAGCGCATGAATGTTAAAATTAGAGCCTAAGCTTTTCCTAACCGCAGAAACTATGCAAAAGCTAATACGACGGCTGTGGTTTTGTTTGTTTGTTTTACTTTTTTTGTATGTGCATGCATATGTAGGCCAGAGGACAACTTGTGGATCTTAGGGCTCAAATTCAAGGCTTTATGCTTGATACCTTTACTGGCTGACCCACCTCACCAGCTGAGCCATTCCCCCAGCCCAAGGGGTGTATTTTTAATGGAAAGAAAATATGTGGAGTCTTGAAGCACAGTAAAAGAGACGTCTTGGGAAGTGAAGTAAATTTAAGCTTAGAATGATGAACACACACGCAAGTGATCTGTATCTAAGAAGAGAACATACATGTCCTTGTTTCCACTAAAAAGGTATAACCAACCAATACATAATGTAATCCAAAATAAACTAACTAAACCATGTTTAGAAATTCACACTTGACAGAGCTGGACATGTAGCCCAGTGACTAAGAACACTTAGAAGGCAGTTCCCAGCATCCACATCATTGGCTCATACCTGCCTATAACTCCAGAGTGGGGGCTCTGACTGCTCTGATTCCAGACCTGGCCTACCCAGGAAATGCTGCTGAGAGAGTAAGGAAAAACATCCAGAAAGTGTTCTGGTTATGGCTGCTCTTATGGCTGCTCTGAAGACTGTTAATGGTGTGTAAGTAACCCCCCCCCCATCCATTGTATTAAGAACGGAAGGCAGGTTAGTGGGTTGAAGCAAGGGTAAGCAGTAAGAAGCAGCAGTTACCTACCAAACAGTGAGTCTCTTGGGAAGTTTTACTGTTGAAAGAGAGAACCACAGCTGAGGTAAAGATGCAGTTTTCCCTTTCCACGTTTGTTTGGGTAGGAAGTTTGTAGAGCATGAATGTCACACTGAGAAGAGCAGACTAGCAGAGAAGAGGGAGCAAGCAGTAGTATTAGAGGCAAGGAATTGGATCCAATGAAGAGAAAATTGCACCAAGATAATTGTAAATGTTTTTGTAATCAATGGGGGGTAGATAAGCCAGCCTCCAAGTTTTAAAGCTTTTTTAATATAAAGGCTTCTAATACATCATAATTTTATCCATAGGCTCAATGTAGCTGCAGTAAAAAAAAAAAAAAAAATTAGCTTTTAAACAAAAACAACATGATTCTGAACTGTACATAGACGTGGAAATGGTCAGGAGCGACTTCAGCACTATTGACGAGTGACAGTAACATAGAAGGATTTCAGCATCAGATACTGCGTCACTGTAAGGTTGCAGGTTATAGTTATGTGGCAGGACAGATAGCACACCATTGGGCTGGGATAAAACCCCCAAACTGGTAAGGTAACACTTTGGTGTAGTGCACAAAAGGAAATATTAAAAAAAAAAAAACAGATAAGACTAATCAAGCCAGAGGATTAAACTTGTCTATAAGATACACCATTCAATAGAGTCATTTTCAGATACATGATATATTTGTAATAATATGAAGTGTAAAATAATGCTCGTAATGACAATGGAAAAAGATAAGAGTTCAAATAAAAATGTTATTAAATTAAGAACTCATTCCATCAACAGATGATACCAGAAGAGTGGAAAGGCAAAATAAAGGAAAGAAAATTAAGCATAACACATTTACTCGGCACCAACAGATAACCAGGTTAAATAAAAATCTCCACATGCCAATAAGAAAAATGGCAATTTAAATAAAAATAAATGGGCTCAAACTCAACTATATCTTTTAAAAAATGAGAATGACCATGGGAAAAAACTAAAAAATCAAATAATAGTTTATAGCATGGTGTTATTCAGGAAGGTAGACTATACTTGGTTCTCTATAACACAGATACCACAGACTGGAAAACGTATAAGAACAGAAGTTTTTTCACATCTTTTGGATGCAGGACAGCTCCAGTCCAAGTCTCAGAAAGGCCAGTGCCAGATGAAGGCCCAATCTGCAGTGCTTCCTTATAGGGAGTGAGTGCAGTCCTCACTGGCAGAGGTGTGGAGGAAGGGAGGGAGGGAGGGAGGGAGGGGGAGGGAGGGAGGGATGCGTTCACTCCCTTCAGCCTTTACAGAGGTGACTAACCCTATTCCTGAGAGTCTACCCCAGGAGTTCATCACCCCGCACCTCACCTCCTCATGCTGCTGCACTGGGGAGTTGAGGTTCAGTAGGAGCTTTGGAAGAAAGGAACATGCAAAGCATAAGAAGGGTTTGCTTGTTGGTTTCTGCTTGTATCTCCAGCCTCTTTTGTCTTTTTTTTTAGTCTCTGTATATATTATAGCTATTAATAAACCAATTGTCCACCAATCTCATCACATGAGGAGAAAGGAGTAAACTGGTTATTTCCCCCCAGGCTTCTCCCAGTTTGAGAAAACGTTCCAGGAGGCTTTAGTAGAAAGGACAGAGTCTTGGGTGAGAGGTGAGACAAGCAGGTGAGGGACAAAGTGTCCATGATTGATGTCCGTTAACTGTTTGAGCTAAGGGATTCAGCCTGCTCAGTGTTTGAACTGGATCGCCCGGTTTAGTCCCCACAGCTTCACGGATTGGGTAAAGCTGAGGTTAAATAATAGGAACTGTTCTACCATACCTCATGCTACGCTAAGCTGCCTCTCCCAAGCTGTTACATTTGGGAAGAGAAGAGGTTCCTAGCCACAAAGCTAATCCCATAATTCCCTCACATTGCTTTACCAAGTCTCCCTCCTGATGTTCGTTCCCCTAACTTTGACACCTTCTTGGCATTGAGACCTAGAAAGATGCAAGGTAGAGAATGTGAAGTGAGAGGGAGGAGGGTCCGAAGGGCATCATGACAAGATGCGTGGTAGCATCCTCTAAGCCATGACAGTGACTATTTTGGTCAATGGTTAGGAGGTTTATAATCCCAGTGCTGGTAGATGTGACACCTAGGGCTGATAGGATTCACAGGTATACTTTATATGCTTAGATATGGTTTACCATTTAGTTTATGCATAAACATTAGGGAATAATTGAGGCTTCTGGGATTTCCGTAGGGAATAATTGAGGCTTCTGGGATTTTCGTATGTTTTTTGTTTTCTTCTCACTTTAACAGATCACATTTCTATCACTTGGAATATGTTACAGAAATGGATACTATATGCATCTCTCATAAATATTTTAACAAAATATAAAGTCACCCTCTCTCAGGGAATCCAATCTAACACTAAACCAAGAAAAAAACCAATGTTTTCCTTGTGTTTTGCAGAGTTTGAGTAATGAGATGAGTACAGATGATGAGAATGAATCCACAGAAGAAAAGGACAGCTACATCTGTGCAGTGTGCCTGGATGTGTACTTCAACCCTTACATGTGCTATCCTTGCCATCACATCTTCTGTGAGCCCTGCCTACGGACTCTGGCCAAAGACAGCCCTGCAAGCACTCCCTGCCCGCTCTGCCGGACCATCATTTCCAGAGTCTTTTTCCAGACAGGTAGATGTTCTCTTTTGTTATCATCGGCACCTAATGCTTTCTCACTATTTGTTGTTGTTGTTTGTTTTGACCTCAAAGTTGCCATATAAATTATTGTGAAGTTAGTGAAAAGCATACACAAAGTGTTGCTCCAGTTTGTAAAACATTACTTGGCCAAGTAACAGCACTACGTCAGAACCACAGGTTAAAGAAGATCTTCATGGCTGACCCCTCACTTTGCACACAGATCCTTCATCCTAGCCAACTGTCTGTTCAGTCTGAACAGACACCTCCAGGGGCTGCACAACGCTGTAGCCTTCTTACTTTTCTTATCTGCCTTCTGCTGCTGCTTGATCTGTGGTCCCCATATCTGAGGGCAGTTAGTAAGCCTTTTACCCAAACTCTCAAGTCTCTAAATGAGGAATGCCCGATCTTTGACCCTGTGGTATGATCTTGTTAACTGCAAATGTGTGGTTGGACCACACTGAGACCTATCCAGAGATGCATGCAGCCGCGGGCAAAGGGTCTGACGCACCTGCTTCAGTCATTCCGGATGCAGCCAAGCTCTGTTCTTTTCTTAAGCAAGTAGGACTAACATACTGCTTACCTGCCTGGGTGGAGATGGGATGTGGCCATCTTAATGGCATTTCACTCCTGCTGATGGATAGATACAAACTGATACACATGAGCATAGAGAGTTAAGGGAAGTGGCAACAGTCACTACCATGTACTCTAGGGAGGAGGGGCTTTCTGTCCCCATGTTTTGTCCTCAGACCAATAGGGTCTAATGGAGATCAAGGTATGTACTTTATTAATGATAAAATAGAAGATCTTAAACAGCAGTTGCATTCCCTGAAAGAAGTCAGAGGACCCACCATCCATTAGTGAGCTTTGATACCCCAGCCCAGCCAGCTGCACAGAGGCTTGCAAATCTCTCTAATTGAACAGTGAAGAGAAAGTAAAGCTGTGGCCCTCTCATCTGCCTAGTGCAAGGAGATTGCTGCACAAAATCACTGCACATCTCATGGCGAAATGTCAATGAAATAGCAAGAAAAGAGAAATAGAAATCGAAGGGAACGCAGACTACTGTAAGGTGTGGGGTTCTACGTAGTAACTACAGTTTGATGAAAGTTCTAAATGTTCGCACCATATGAGGACAGTTACAAGTGAATATTTAAAGAAATGATTTTCATTATCCATTAAAAGAAAATACAGATTCTCAAGGATAACTAAAGGAGTTTCTGGCACTTAGCCCCCACAGGAAATTTTGTGTGATGTCTCTGGAACCTATAAAGAGGAAACAATATCCTTAAAAGCATCGTCAGAGAAAATTGCAGCATCAAAAATTTCTCTTTCTTGCTCATGGTATTACAAATAAAACCAGAGAAAATGTCAGTATAAATTAGATAAATCCATATTGCTAATTCCTAATACAATGGTTCTATTTTCTTGTTAAAATAATTTCAAGTAGTAAACTCAGGCTTACCCATATTCCTGCCACTTTAAATTAGCATCTAACGCATGTCTCTCCACACATTGTGTGTGTGCATATATACATGTCTAAGCTTTTGTCATTGTTACCCAAACTATCAGACCACATGAACATTTTCTAATTCATTTCCTTGATTAACCCAAAGTCCTTGTGCTTTTTTTTGTAATGACACCATGTTCTACTTAGCCCATTTACCTTTATGGAATATTTACATGTTTTATTTATAATTTTATTTAGACATTAATGGTATGTATGGATAAATGTTTGAACATGTTATGTAGCATTTCCTTATGATGAACTTCCACAAGTAGTGAGAATACTTAACAGCTGTGTTTATAAGATAGTACATGAATTACATTAACAGCAGTGTGTGTGTGGCCTTGTTTCTACAGCATTGGCCATCAGGTTTGCTCTTTAAATGCCTGACCATCAGAATGTTTTGTATGTTTAGTGCCAGTTGCCACATGTGGAAAACAATCTTCCCTTTTTGTCCTTATACCTTATTTTTTGGTTATGGTACTTAATGAATGTGCCGAATTTCTAGATTTTGTTTTTTGTTTGTTTGTTTGGTTTAGTTTGGTTTGGGGATTTTTGTTTTGTTTTGTTTGGTTTTTTCTTTTTTGAAGCATGGGCTGTTCAACTGTTGCCTTTGTAGTTAAAACGTAGATATTAAAGGCCTACTAACTACACAAGTCTATAAGCTTTCCCTTTACTTATTTTTTTTTTAGTTACATTTTGTCCTCCTTTTCCCATATTCCCTAAGGTGTTTTATTTACCCAAGGATAAAGTATCATTTTGCAATCCTTAGGCACATGCCCCAACAATATTTAATAAGTTATTCTTTCTTTGCCACCTGAACTGTCTTCCTTTGAAAAACAGCAGTAACTCCTAAAACTCTCTCTTGGCAGCTGTTTTCACCCATTCATCTCACTGCCTTGTCATGGACACTATTTCACTTCTTATTTTACTGTGTATATGTTAATAACTCACAGAGTAAGTTTAAACTAATAGAGGATGGGTGGCATTTTAGTGGATACTTTTATAATAGTGATCATTACAGTTTATCACTTTTTAGCCAAGCTCTATAATTCCCTTCCTAAAGGCTCTGCACATTTTATGGTAACTTTGTGTCCATATGTTTAGTGGTTGCTATTGTAGCATTGATTTTTCTTTTCTTCCTCAGTTTCTGCTATTTCTGTGGATGTTAGGAGAGTCACCTAGTCTTCTGTTCTCTTCCCATCATCTGACTGAGGGTTTGGAATTATTTATTGAATAAATTAATCATATAAATTACATAATGTCATTATGCTGATTGTGGGATTGTTATTGCCAAGGGCTACGGTGGAAAAGCTGTCCTTTGTGGCAAGTGAAAATACTACAAGATGAATAAGGGGTCCCTTGTGTCATATTTCTCTTAGGGTAGCTCAATGGGTAGAAATACAATGATACTCATTCCAGATTTATCTGGTGGAGTCCTCTTTAGTGAAATAAATTAGTCCTTGCACTTGAACTGTAACTGTATCTTCCTCTCCCTAATTATATGCTCTTGTTTAAACAACTGAGTGTCAGCTGATAATGTAGCTACTTAATGCTGATGAAAGTTGAAAAGTTGGAGTGAGATAGACTATACAGAAGGAATAACAGAGGCTCCAAGGCCTGCTTATAAAAAGAGGTATGAAGATAGACTGTTAAAGGTTGTAAGAAAAAAATCACATTTGCAATAGGTGCTATTGCTCACTAACTAGTATCCATAATCACCTTCTTTCTTCCTAACTTAGTGCTGAGCATTGAGCCCTATAAACAAAAGCCAGTGGGTCCTGGTAGCAGACCCATCCTCTGTTTCTTAGTAATTGATCGCACTGGCCAGGAATTGATTCACAAATGAGTGTGTGGTCTGTTCAATGAGATGAGAAGAAAATACATTAGAAGGACTGTTTTCTTTCTCTTCTGACGTGAACAAAAGTGTCTAATAGCATTACTTGCCAGTAGACATCTTCTAAGCAAGTGAGAAACTAGCTTTAGTATGAAGAAAAATTTAGTTGAGAAAAATACATGAGATGAGATTGGAATAGCATTGTTGATCTACTTAGTCAAACAAGTCTAAAGTCGGGCTATAGATTTCCTATTATATGAAATAATAAATTTGCTCATTAAGTAGGACAACTTTAATAGATTTCTTATTATGTTTCAACTAAAAGTAACGTAATAGACCAGGCATGATAATTCACACTTAATCCCAGAACTCAATAGGTGAATGCAGCAGGACTTTGGCAGTTTGCCAGTCACCTTTCTCTGTGTCCTGCAGACTGTCTGGCAGACTCTTCCATGAAGCAGGAACCCTGCAGCAATGCCCATCTTGTTTCAGCAGTCATTTTCCTGTTGGTCCGCATGAAGTCAAACAGTCTAGATAAGAGCAGTATCTTGCCCAAATGGCTAGTCTTGCCATATTGGAAGTAAACTCCATAACGAGTTTCTTTGATGTCCATCTTCCTTTCTGACGCAGGTGGTGTTGCCAGGAGCAGTTGTGCCTCACTGTCAAGAAAAACCCTAAACCATTTTAAATGCCATATTCTGTAGGTCTTTGAAAGGTTTGAAGAATGCCTATTCATCTCAAATGCATCTCTGTATATCTAGAAATCCTAACTAACTTAACTATAAGTTTTGACTATTATAGGTAACTATCTAAAATCTGTACTAAATTATATATTACATTTCTAAATGAGCTATATAAACACAATACCTAAACAAGAGGAGAAATATTCATATCATAAAATTGACCTTAAATTTGTATCAATAAATGAAAATCCATTCCAAAACAAAGTATTTATATCTATACCATAATCCCCTTTTTACCTTTAAAGAGATTAGTTGTGGTCAGTAACCATTTATTACCAACCCCATTTAAATGAAAACAAACATTTATAGACAATATTTGGGAATTTGGGCATCGTTCTATCCAAACTGCTTCCTGCTGGTAGGGGGCGCTGTAATGGGGATCCTAAGATGCAGAAATCCTGGCTGTAGTGGTAGTGTAGTGTAGGCTGCCTTGTCCCAAGGACAATGTTTTTGGGGGTTTTGCTTGATCAAACCACATTAGTCTGGAAGGAATCCACAACTTTTTATTTTCTGTAGAAACAAAAATAGAAATCCTTTTCCCTAGAAACCTGTCCTTAGACTTAAATTTTGGAGTCAAAGCATTTTTAAAATAAATAAATAGGAACAATCTAGCAGCATTTCTTTTAACAGTTGTTATTTCCTCAGCAGTTAAACAATACAAAGACATCACAATAACATTCAGAATCCAAAGTCTCTCTGTGCTTTCCATCTTTACGTGGCTTTTTCATTATTCCATTTCTTCTACTTCTATTTTTTTTTTATTTTTTGAGACAGGGTTTCTCTGTGTAACTATTGCCTGTCCTGGAATTCAGTCTGTACACCAGAGTCACTTAGAACTCACAGAGATCTGCTTGCCTCTGCCTCCCTTGTGCTGGAATCAAAGGTGTGTGCCGCCATATTCAGCTACTCTCTC